CTTCAAAGTGTGAGATCGCTCTGATTTAAATACTTCAGATTGTCTGTATTTACGCAGTGGATTGTCCATCTTCTCTCTTGTTTTCTACCTGTCTCTTAATGATCAAACTATTCTTTAACCCAGACTATCTATCTCCATAGTTTGTTGCCTTGGTGCCAAGTGAAGGTGCTATTGAGGGTACACAGAAGTCACACTATAATGAACAGTGACAGGATGTCATCCCCTCAGCCTGGAGCTGCCACCCCGACACCCACCTGCACCCGTCCAGCTGAGCCTGCCGTGTCTGTGACGTCACAGCCAATTGATGGTGTTGCAACAAGCAGGCAACATTACCCCCTTCCCAGCATTTGCATGATATGAGGGATTTGTCTTCTCTTTTCTGCCATAGTTGGACCATCGTTTGGTATTTTCCACATCCAGTTTCTCATCCCTCTGAAACCTCTGATCTCTTTGGAAATCCAGAGAGGGCTGCCCTCTCTAAGTGGCCTTCGGCTGTGTTTGATCACTGGTTGAGTTATAGATGTCTCCATGAGCCATAACTCAGAAGCCAGACTCAGATGTCAACATAACATATGTTGTTTTTCCGCCGTCCTACCACACGTTCTGTGTGAATAGAGTACACGGAGATGTAGGAAATAGTAAGATTGTTGTGGGATGCCTGATGCTCTCTCACAGAAGTTCCCAATTGTTTTTTAATAAAGATATCCGAAACAATAACCAAAGGTCAACAAAAACAGTTTTTTCTCTCCTCTGAATTTGTTTTAAAGGATTATTTAGGTCTGAAGAGATTAAAGTTTTCAGTATTTTACAAAAACTGAAATATTTACCAAAGAATAATTTCAAATCTGTTAAAACTGAATGTTTCACTTATTCGTCCCAGACTCAGGGTTGGTTCTTCAATCTTTATGTTGGTGAGAAATGGGATTCTCTGTTCTTCTTTTTATTACATTTCCAAGCTGGCTCACCTTTACAGACTTTATTTTATTACGCCTGTACTGTCGAGCCAGCTAGGAGGAGACTGTGGGAGTTCAAGCTAGGTTCACATATAGGCTAACCTTTTCCAAATGAGTGCGAGGAATGCTCCTTATTAACCAAACATCACCTTGTCAGGCCCTGTTCAGAGCTCCTCCCTGTGCCACACATAATGAGATGAATATCTCAAATCTGCTTTCTTTAGTTAAAGACACAAAGTAAGCTTTTTGCCAGACTCCTCCTAAGAGCGCATCTAATACGCTCTCTTGCTATCGTGATAAAATAATTTCCATAAGGAAGTGATTACACATTTTAATAATTCTGAGCAGATGTGAAAATGTCTCAACAAGTTAACAAGGCTGTGGTGGAAGTGCAGATCTTGTCACTGTTGAGGCAGCGTGCCGCGGCATCATGAAACCCACGAGCCTGGCAGGGAAGGTGAACAGACGGAGGATGATGGAAAATTGTTGACACATTATTTTCTTTATGCAAAAACACACAAAAAACGTCCTCCTTGAAATCTCTTGGTGACGGTTTATCACAGTGACCCCTGTTATGTTGCACACAGGCAGACTTCTCACGCTATACTTTATTATTCAACACAGTAGAGACTAGCCATCATGGGAGTATGAGTGCAGATGTTAGATTATTTTAAAAAGAAAACGAACTTGCCTTCAGCAAGAATATGCCCACAAAATGGGAAAGAGCTTCAGGAAACTATTGAAATAGATACTGAACTGAATAACTATTTTTATAGATCAGGCTAACAGAGACCATAAGATTGTGGCAGACAGACTATTTGTCTACTTGTTTAGTGTGTTTTGGTAAATTGGTGTAAATTGTGTCTTACACTTGTTTTAACATTGTTTTTTTTATCTCTACTGTTTTGTATGTTTCATGGTCTATCCTCTTCACTTTGAACAGGATCAGAATTCAAGAAAATAGTGTTATTCATTTTATTATAGTATACAAACATAGCAGAACAAAGGTCTATCAGCTTGGTTGGACATCTTTCAGAAAGTGATTGTTACATCTGCTGAATAAAGGAACATAATAATCTTATACTGCACACCATGCTCTAAAGACAAAAAGTGTTTTTTGCATTTAACTCTCCCCTTCACTTACTGGCAGATTTTTAAATACAGTAAAAAATAATCTTTATATAAACGTAATGCCTGTGCTTCTCGCCTTTGTTCAGCTCAGACGAAGATAAAGCCTAAATTGGCGATGCATCTCATCAAAGGTGTTTTCTCTTTGTGCTCCTCAATGTGAATAGCTTAATGTTGTGTATAGAGAAAATACATGTAGATAGGAGAGGGGGGGAAGTGTTCACCTACAAGCAAAAAAGAAACTTTGGTAATTGCCATAACACAAATAATGAGAGGCTATGTAGGAAAGTGTTTGAAGAGCGGTCCTGATCAAGATAAGATTGGAGACAGTATCATGAGAGAGGAAGTGTTTTTCTGTCTGCTGCAGCTGAAAGGAAACTTAAGTGACAGAGTTACTTATGAGCCAGACGCTGAGCAAACCCTGCAGAAATAACCAGGCTAAATGGAGTTTAGGGTGTGACCAGAGAGTCGAATTCAGTTGCCTCTTGTGGTCAGAAACATAATGCATTGCACAAATATTTTGACTACAGATCTGTTTTTTTTTTTTTTATGTATTAAAAAGTAAATCAATAGTCGCCCACTAGTGGACAAGGTGCCACAACCATATTCATTTATAAATTAATACTCCAAAAATGTGTTTTTTGTTTTATAGACTAAACATTTTCTGGCCGCTTATAAAACTGTGATGTTACATAAAGAACCATTTATACACAAAATGAAGAGAACCCTACACACAAGTGTGTTTCTCTGCAATAAAGGCTTGTTTTGTTGAGCTTGCATTTCTTTTTCGGCTACTGTTTTAATTGGAGCTCTAAAGTTGTTTGTTTTAGTCTTTATGTCGGTTGTTGAGGTGTTTGTGTTGTGCACCTCCTGCGTAACTGTGTGAAAAAGTGCAAATGGAAACTTGGAAACATTCACTTTTTATTCTTCTTACCTTTTAGAATAAATATTGCAACGGCATACGCTGTAAATCAAAATTATTGAAATACCTCAAATCCAGCAAAAAAAAGAGTATACAGGATGGTTTACATAATGACCTGTCTGAAAATATTACAAACTGAACATCATCACATTACATTTCCTTATGTCAATGATGCACCTTTTCTCTGCAAAGTGCAAACTCCACTTTTTGGATGTGTGTAATCATCTACAGCTGCATCAAATGAATAACAGGCTAATATAGTTTGGATAACAGAGGCCAGACCTAAAGGTGGTGAACCAATGTTTTTTTTCCCAGGGTGTATAAGCTTTATTTATGTGTGCAGACAAAAAAACATAACTGTTAGCTTTAGGGAAAAAGAGGGAAAATATTAGAAAAATAACTTGCTTTCCATAAGAGAAATGTGCTATTGTTTGGATCTCACATGATTGATGCTTGACTTAATCCAGTGCTCTTTGCGCCATCCCAGGAGGGTGAGCGGTCTCTTTGTGCCTCTCTGTCCCATGTGAAGCAAACCAAAGCGGGAGAGTGAGGGTCATAGCTATTCGGCAGGGTACCAGATCCTTCCCACCGGCACATCTGCATGTGAAATCGCCATTTCACCCCTCCACACTCCCTAATTGTTGCTAAAATTATTTGTGAAATTGCCTTCCACCAGGAGTGTTTTCCACGGCAATTGTCACACAATTTTATATGCACGGTGGGCCCACAGAGTTGACACATGCACCTCTTCTTTTCTGCCATATGTGCTCTTTTTATTCGAGTTTAATAGCGCGTTATTATTATTTTTTCAAAACAATTACCTTTAAGCAATTACTCTTGTGCTTACGCGAGGGCAAGTCAACCTGTTGTCGTCAATAGCGGGTCGATCCTAATGTTGTCATTACCACAAAAGCTATAGGAGCGATTTAGATGTTCATGCTGCGCACATTTACTTAATTGAAAGGTTAACAAGCCAAACGCATCTTATAGTAGCCTTCGCCGGGCAGGGCTGCTATTGCGCGCTAGTCTATTGTCAATTTAGAAATCACACCACCAACTCCTGACTCAATTATTTAGGGCCGTTTTTTTTTTTTTTTATTCACACCAAGCTTTACTTGTGTTCCGGCGCATGTATAGAAGAATGCATGAAGGCGTTTACACTCGAATAGTTTTATCGATGTTGGTCATTTATTTCAGTTTTTTTGTTTTTGTTTAAATATGGTATATGGGAATTTAATTCAGTATATCCATAGTATATTAACAATAAACTATTTTAACAACTTGCTAAATAAAAACATTTACGAAATTATTTCAGTTTTAATTTCTGCCTCTGCTATTTCTACTATAGAAGCAGTTTTTAGGGTATATATTTTATATATTTTTTCTTGTCAAAGAATGAGAAAGAAAGAAAAAAGAAAAAGAGAGAGAAAGAAAATGGAAATAGCATTTAAAAAGCATTAATATTCCACAGGTTTAAACAGCTGAATGTCAGGGAAGCTGGCTCATTTTGAAAAGACGGGCTTTAGAATAACATTTAGACATAATAACATTTTGAACTGCTTTCTGGTGTATGGAGTCTGATGAGGGAGGCAGCAGTGAATTAAAAGTGGAAAGTGTTGCTGTGATTGGTCGGCCGGCTCCTGGCTAAACCCACTCTCTTTCATCCATAAAAGAAAGGCCAGTGAGCCTATGGGAGCGCTCGGTTGTCTCCTCCTACGACATGCACGAAAGTTGGCCACTTAAACTACTTCCAACCAGCCAGCAGACATTATACTGAACCCAAACTACAACCAGGAAACGAATAACACAGCATTTCTGTCCAACTCAGACACACAACTCCAATTACTCTACTTTGCAGACTTCCCTGTTTGAAGGGATTTTATTTTATTTGTAGCAGTTGTTATTATTTGTGTTATATTTTGGCACGTCCATCGCACCAGAGGACAGCATCACTTATTTTTCCCCGGTGGAAGAAGGTCCAGTTTCTCCGCCTGGGATTGGGATTTCACAGCACACTGAGCATCATTTTGAGCATTTTGAACACATTCCGTTTTTGACTTGGACTGGAGTCCGTTTGTTGTTCGTCCGGGTGGCAATGATGGCTACACTACCAGGAACGATGCCTCGGATGATGCGCCCTGCGCCGGGCCAGAACTACCCCCGAACCGGCTTCCCCCTGGAAGGTAAGAGACATGAAAACGTGTGTGTGATGTTTGAACTTGTGCTGTGACAAAACTCATCAGTCAGCGTGATAGTCACACAGCCCTAGTTCGTTACCGGCGACATGCTGTGAAAATAAAAAGGTGGATGAACAGATACGACCTCCAGTCAGTGATGGTTCTAGTTTACAACCTGAAACCAAAGTGAATAATAAATAGCAACTCGTTCTTTAAGAAATCAACCCACAGCATCTTATTTTCGTGTGTTTTGATTAAGCCTGATAGTATTCTATTGATGTGTGTCTGCTTTTATTTATAACTCGTTTAATTTGACAATAAGTAATTGCTTGTTGTACAGCTTCTACCTGACATATTTGTAATACTTACTCTTATTTTTGTTTTATTTTTTGAAGCTTTCATTTTTAAATTATTCGGAAAATGTTACTTATAATAATTATAGGCCTATACAATGTTGCATGTTAAAATCATTTGTTGTATTCAAATTTAAAGCCACCCAGACACTTATTTATTTGATACAATAATATGTTAGATAACAGAATAAACAGATGGTCCCTTTTTTTGTATTTGTTAATTTTAACACTTTAACAATTTGATTACTCTAGCTTCGATTGTTACACACACACACAAAAAAGCAATCTAATTGGTAATTTATTAAGTTGATGCACACACTCAAGCAGTCTGAACATATGGGCGGAAAAAAGACCACTTTGTATTTGAACGCATTTATGGAAACAGTTTTCCCATTACACCCAGTTCGTGCTCAAGTGCTCTGGACTGAAATGTACAAAAACCACGTAGCTCGCAAGTTACTCGAGCTGCGGGATTTGTTCAAGTGTCCTGCTGCTGGAAATGGCAATAATACACACAGCTAAGATATGACTCAAAGGATCACATCAATATTTGTACAGCATGACTAGGAATAATCAAGGTGGGAAGTGTCACCCTCTTTAGTGTCTCTTGAATGTGAAATTGGATCCTGAAGTGGCCTCGGATACATGCTGTGAGCCAGACTGACGCTGGATGAATTTGGCACGACGCTCTCTTGAAAATGTATAATATGATAATGTGCGTTAACTGCGTCCCATTTAAGAGTCAGCAGCACAGAAAACACGTCACTATTTGCCTCTAATATACGCTGAATTAGCTTCATCTAGCTTGCATTGAAGTGCACATTTTTAAAGAGACTTTTTATTGTTTATTGTGGTGCAGTATCCACCCCCCTGGGCCAGGGTAGGGTGAACCAGCTTGGCGGTGTGTTCATCAACGGGAGGCCCCTGCCAAATCACATCCGACACAAGATAGTGGAGATGGCCCACCACGGCATCCGACCCTGCGTGATCTCGCGACAACTGCGAGTTTCTCACGGTTGTGTCTCCAAGATCCTCTGCCGATACCAAGAGACCGGCTCCATCCGCCCGGGAGCCATAGGAGGCAGCAAGCCCAGGGTGAGTGGGTCCATGGACGGGTCTGGGGGTCACTGCAGCGACACCTGAGTAAAACTGCATGATGTTATTACAGTTGTTTGATAGAGGGCACCATCAAAAAAAGTTTTACCTCCTCTGTTTTATTAATATCAATAGTATTATTAATAATTATAAAATATTAATAATGTGCCTTATTTAACCAGGGACATGTGTCAAGTAAATTGCAAACTACATTTACATTAGAGCCCACCTGTAGGCTAACATCCTTTCTACAGTCCTTAAAGTTCAACTGAAGCTGATATTTTCTTCTTCCAAAATTATTGAAATGTTCTTTAAACAATAAGCTTACTCAGAAACATTTATATATAATATAGTATAAATGTGATATGTGTTTAACGATCTGCCTTCATACATTATTTGTATTAAATGCTGTAAAAAAAAAATGGACACATGTGTTCCATTAAAGGGTTTTTATTATGATAAATATTATTCTATAATGACAAATGTTTTTTTACTGGTGTGGATATTTTAGATTAAGCCATTAAGACATATTAAAGGTTGAAATGTGTTATTGTCCCGGGCATATTATAGGCATACTCACATTTAAGAAAAACAATTTACATCATTGTTTCTTATTTTTGCAATTTGTGTTTGAATATTGAGGATCATCATTTTCTTCATCTTTAAAATGTCTCCAAATTAAAACGGAATTTTCTTTTTTCCTTCCCTTTATTGCCCTCCATTTAAACATTTACAACCTAAAGCAGGTGGCAACTCCTGACGTGGAGAAGCGGATCGAGGAGTACAAGAGAGAGAACCCCGGCATGTTCAGCTGGGAGATCCGGGATAAGCTGCTGAAGGACGGGGTGTGCGACAGAAGCACAGTTCCTTCAGGTGAGGCTTCATCTGGTAAGCTGCACTTTTTTTTTCTTATTACTAGCGAACACTGCAGCATCACTTCTGAACATCACTTTGAATCCAACATGTTTTTAGCCCCAGTTACTGGTAATAACACTTTTCAGTGTAGCAGGAAGCACACTTACAACTGTGTGACCCAGAAAAAAATCCCCCTGTTGGGAAAATTTGCCTTTAGTGCTCAATTGATAATTTTCATTATTGCATATAACGTGTAATTTTTCCATTAGTACACAGTTTTATTTATTTTTCGAACGCAGCTGCTTCATGTGAAACTTTTTTTACTGTGCTTTTTTTTATGGTATCCTAAAAAATGTATTATAGGATTACTTTGGTTCCTTTATGGGTTTTAGAGCTAATCACCCATTTACCTTTTTGTTGCCATTAGTGAGCTCCATCAGCCGCGTTTTGAGGGCCCGATTTGGCAAAAAAGATGGCGAGGATGACTGTGATAAGAAGGATGAAGATGGAGAAAAGAAAACAAAGCATAGCATCGATGGCATCCTCGGTGATAAATGTAAGTTAACAGCAGAAAGTTTATGGCCCTTTTGCATATGTCTGAAATATCGAATTATTATTATTATTATTATGTAGGGAATATTCCAGCCTTGTAAGCAGGAAACAAATGTTTTAAATGGACTTCCTACTTTACGTCCTCTTGGGAAATTGCTAAACGCAGAGAATGTATTCCTGCTTTTAACTACGAGCCAGCAGTTGTTCATTCACTCAATTATTTATGAGAGCCTTGGCAGAAGGTATTTAACTGCAGAAAATTAATTTGTGTAGCGAATTCCTCCTCATTCATTCACTCATTTAACGACCTCTAAACGACAGCTGACAGTTGACCCATTTCACAATCGATGTCAGTTCACTGACATTTCACCACTTGTCAGTTAAAGTGGAAATCAATGTTCATATTATTATTTGCTCTATTAGTAATGCTGCGTGGAGGGGACAATAAAGCTTTGACGCAGGTACTGACTGTCAGTGTTTGTCAATAGTATTTTTTCAAGCTTATAATAACCTTAAATGTATTAGTATCTCCCGTGGTGAATGAAATATTTGCAGTAGCCTATATTATAGCCAACATGTAAAAAAAAAAATCAAACGGGGACGTTAAAAAAAATTAGAGTTTGAACAAGTAGCGAGGGTTTTATTTAAGTTATTAAATACGAGTAGACTTTTTTGACATTTTACAAGAGAAACCTCTGCATTTATTGTCAAATGTTATGTCACATTATGTTTAGTGCTTCGTTTTTCTTTCTTGCTATGAAGTGAAAAATTCTTCCATCCAAACGATTTGATCGAATTTGATGATCAAACTTGAGTGAATGGGGTCTAGATAAGTGTTTACAAAAGCCTCAATTTTTACCCTTAAAGACACTGCCAAAACATTTTCAAACTTGAAGATGAACTTCACGAGCAAACCTCCCCTCCATTGACGCTTTTCTAAAGTGAGGAGTCCGAGGTACAAAAGCAAATCCTGGAAAGCAGGGCAGCGAAAAGGAGAGTATGGACCCGTCCATTCTCATTCAAAAATCGGGTAAAAGGGAGAAAACTTTGGACAAAGGGCAAGGAGAGACATAAAAGGAGATGAATTATTCAGTACGCCCCGCTGGTAGATAGTTTTGTAATTTTGTATAATGGCCCGTTGGAGAATAATCAGTTGATAGCGTGAAAACGGTCTCTTTTTTTGTGACACCACGCGTTAATGTTATGAGAAAAATGTCAACATTTTGTTTCAAATACCTCAACTGTCTACGTAGATGGTTTATAACTCCTGCATGCTGGCTATAAGTGACCAACATTTTTTGGAGAGCCTGCTGTTACGCACAGCTCAGACGCGTAAAACTGAGGACATGTTTTCTGAGTAACGTGATAGTTTGACTTGTAAAGTGTTAACTTAATTATTATTGACTGTTTGTTGTTAGCGCCAAATATCAACCTAATGTTCCTGCTTCTATTCTGTCTTAGCTCAGCTTGTGTTTTAAATTGGGACTCAATTACGTTGCTATAAAAAGAGACGCACCCTCTGCGTAAAGCAGTTTAGACTACCGGCATCCGGATGGCATTTAATAATGTTAATACTTATTAGAGTAAGCACTGGAAACGATGGTTGCTGAATAGGTGGCTGTGTTCGTGCCGGTTGTAATAGCTCGCAGGCATGGTAAGAAATGTATTTATCCCCAATCAGCCCCTCACTCTCCGAGTTTGAAGCACAGCCCTTATGTGGAGAGGGGTTTTAAAGCAGATTAAATAGAGCCTTTTATTTCTTTTCACTTTCATCTCAGAGCGGAGCTCACAGTGGCTCGCCCAGGGCACAAAATTCATGAGATTTTTTTTTGGTTTACTTATCCAGATTTTAAGACTTTATTTATTTATCTATTTGTTTATTAGCCCTGTGTATTGGATTTTCTCAGAGGTTACATCACGGATTTATCCCAGCTTTAATCTATCTTTATTAAACATGTATTCAAACTGCTAAACACATTATAATATTGTAAATGTTGTTTTGTGGCTTAGTCAACTGTTATTTATCAGAAGGATGTAGAAGAAGCTGAACCAACCGAACAGTCACTAAAAATAGTTTTCACGCTGCTTTATTGGCCCTTTTTATTCTGAAAGTCGTTAATCTTATGTTGATCATCGAGTGAAGATCTTGGTCCACAAATGTTCTGTTGTGCAAAAATAAATTGGTGCGCACTTAAATGGTCATGTACGGCTGTTAAAAATATGTGTCTTTTAATTACGCGCAAGAAAATTGAGCAAGGTTGCATTGCATGTGCAAACTTGGACATCCTTTTGTTTAACGCCACACCGCTCTGAAAGAAAAGGTGTAGCAGCTGTCCGGCGTCCATCTGCCTCTCTGACGCAACCAACCTGACCGTTAGCCGAGGTGGAGACAGGCGATGGACACTTCAGCAAATCGCAGGATTACCTGAGGTCCTCAATCTAATTAAACAGATGTCAACTGGGATTATTTCCGAGCATCAGGGAGGGAAAGTGACAGAGCAGCGGAGAGGTGTGAGGAAGTGTGACAGACCAAAGAGGTTAGGACTGGCTAAAAAGAGGCTTTTATATTCAGAGAAACAGTATTTGTTTTTGGAATGGGTGTTATGCGTATTTCCTCCCACAGTTTAACAAAAAATATATTATTGAGAATATAATTATCTAGACTTCTTTTCTATCCCCGTTTCAGCATGCTGTGATTTACCAGTAGATGTTTGTTAAATTACGTCAAACAATTCCCTTAAAACGGTGTATATTTTTTTATTCCGGTTTATCCTCCACTCACAGGTCAATTTATGGTTTCTTTTAAAACACAAAAAAATAATAGATTTCTGCTGTTATTATCAACTCGGCCTATAGTGATGTGTGAAAAGCTGCCCCTTCCCCACGTCACAAACACGCACGCACTAACACACACTTTCGCACACGCACACCCAGTCTCTAAGTGTATGGTAATATAATGTAGCTATATTTCGGGTCTAAAGCCGTGCTGAATGAGAAGGACAGGGGAATGAAGCGAGAGACCACTTCAAACAAATCCATCTGGAACAGTGTGTGAGAGAGATTCAGTGAAAGTATGGGGAAGTTATTTAGCTATTAATAACGTTTTTTCCTCAGGCATTGAGAGTGGCTCCATCTGCACTTTCTCGCAGCTATTTGGCTGGGTGGAAATTGAGGGAGACCCAAATGTTGGGCAGAGATAACATACCCATCATAGCCCAGACCCTGCGCTGTGCTTCACTGCATTAAACTCGGATTAACCTCCCCTGTCCCCGCAGCCACTCAAGCCACATTTCACTGGAATTTACATCGGTAGGCCTACATTTATTCTTATAGAGGGGGCAGGAGCTGAAAGACGCAACATCATCATCCATAATAATAATAATAATAACAATAATAACATTAATAATCTTAGGGCTATTTGTATTTACAGTAAATCAATACAATTAATGAGGGCAGAAAAATATAGTATACCTATTATTAAATATTGAGTAAAACATTAACATTTTAGAATTTTAACAGCATTCATCTGGCTTGCTTTAACAACACTTGTGTTATGTGTAGCCTATATATAATAACTACAATGTTCACATTACATAAAGATATGTATATAGATTTTTTCACTTTGCTCACTTTCGTTGTAAAGACTGCTGCATCTTTGGTTGACCATCTCTGAATCTAAAGGATATTTTTCTGTTTTGTTTTCATTGTTCAGATGATAGCATAAATTATTGTTACTTGTCATCTATGTGTATGATTGTAACAAACCAGCAGAAATGGCTGCTCAATATCACCCTCAATATTAGCAAAACATTACGATTATTGAGCGAATTTTAAATTGCACCAGAACGAAATTGTGTCATTTTTTATTTTGCATGTTGTTTTTTTAAATGCAAAACGGTGGTGTAATTTGTCGCTAATGACATATTGCGATGTTCTTATGGTGAGGAGTTACTACTAGTGTAACAAATTAGCCTATTGGTTCCAGCAAGGTAACATGGGCAAACCGTGCAACATAATAACATGAAACCCATTGCTTATGAGTAATGAGTAATGCATCAATTTAAAGGAGTGCAGTTTAAGCTTGTAGGCCTACCATATACTGTAGAGACGTTTCAGTGTCTGGAGCTTGAAGTGTCGGCAGCATTAAGCACACAAAATAAAAATGGAGTAGGCTTAAATTCATTCTGTGCTGGCATTTGACTTTGATCACATCAGAAATATTCATGGACGCACAAACAGTGGCTCTGCCACCATTATCCCGGCTGACAGTGATACCTCTCAAGGCTGTCTATTAATTAAAGTGGCGCTTACCATGTGGGACGACTCCCTATCTGGGCACAAAAATGATTTTTCCATCTCTTGTGGGGCTCTTGAAAAGGGGCAATCTTTCCTCTCCAGCTTCTTGTGGGAAATGTAAAAGTGTACAGAGGAAGACATGGGGATTTCTAGCTCATTTATAAAGACGAGTTTATAATCCTTTCCTGCTTAATAACTTAAAAGGATTCAATTTCTCCCCTCATTTATGGGGTTATGATCACACATTGTTAAGCGCAGATAGTAACATTTCAAGGTTAACATTTCCTGCTCGAAAATATCAGAATAAGCTGTAAACCCATAGGTGCCCTTTGTTTAGCCTGCTATTTCCCCCACAAATGCTGATAGGCCTTTTTTAGATGTTGTTACTATTAATGTGATAACAAGGATGAAGCCGATGTAGACCACGTTGATAAGATGCCTCTATGCCACCGAACATTTTTAAATGATACGACATTTAATTATAGCATATAATTTCACCATCGAGAATTAAACTCAGTAGGCTTACGCAGACTCTGAGGATTGAATGTCTGGTTGGGGGTCTCAAACCATATGAGACAAATTAAAGAGGAAGCGTTGCCCTCCAGGTATCCTGTCGCAGCAGTAGGGTGCTTCAGCGCGGCTCTCATTTCGGTCTGTGTTTTATTTCGCCAATTCTCACTATGGGGCTCCGGGATCCTGCCTGCAGGG